CAAAGTCAGTGCTGTCCAATACGTCAAACGCATAATTAACTTTTCAACTGTTATAATTCTACTCTCGGCCTCGATTCGCTCATTTGCCCTTCTTCCTTCTAAGGTAGATAAGTGAGTACCACCCTGCAGCAAACAAACACACCACAAACTAGGCGAGTACGATACTACACATTATGCACACCACATGACTGCTGTCGCCTCCGCCTCTGTACTCCTGACTGATGGCACAGAAACGGAGATCAGCACTGCACGTCAGGAAATGAAGGGTGCCACAAATGGTCTCCAACCATGAAAGTGCAGAAGAGACTGACATCCTAACAGTTTCCAACTACTAAGAGTATGAGTTAATGCGAGTTTCTGAGCATTTAAGGAGAAAAATTTTCCGCTGCTTATGAAGTAAAGCAGTGCTAACACTAAAACGTCACTGATGCGTATGATACATAAATGCCCCTCCCCGAACCATAAAAGCAAGTTGGGAGCAGGCAACAGATCCGTATAAATTCACAGAATGAAGAAGTGGAAAAGAAAGTTTCTTATATTATAGTAATGGATGAGGGCAAAGGAGGAAGAACGCATTTGAATGAATGGAAAAAATTTTTAATAGCGTCCTACCATAGGAGCTGACTTGTGAAATATCGTCCTGTATGGCCTGGTTTTCATAGCCACAGTTGCACAGCTGAAAGAAATTCATCTTCCAGCGACGAAGGAGGTAAACGCTGCTCCATATCACAGCAAGTTACTTTTCAATGTAGATCACTGAAGGCAAGCCAGGAACAGGTGTATATAGTGTGAAGGAAAAACAGAAACGATTGCAGAAAAGCTGCAAAGTGATGGAATCATGTGATTCACTTATGCATGACACAGCATGGGATTAAGAATGCATTTATAGAAATCATCAAAACTTCAAACTTGAAGCTGACAACAGCCACATATGCGCTAACTTTCAACCATCATGGCTTTAATCAGTACAACAGTCATGCAGCTTCGAAACAAAAGCATAAATCATCCATGGAAATTGCATTAGCGGACCGTTACACAGTCGATGAGAATGGTACGAAAATCACTGTCAAATAGACCAAACGCCAAAGTTGAAAGAAACTAGAATAAGGTGGGGGGGGGGGCAGTATTTCGCGAGACGTAACTCACTTACTTAATAAGTTTTCACTCATAATAACCTTGCCATCTCTAGCAGGGCTGATTGTGAACAAGAGAAATTCGTACACGCAGGCCTTCAAATTCCGGTAGATTTTTTGCCAAGCAGACGTCCAGCCTCAAGGATGCGGTAGCAACAAGACTTTTTCTTCAGAGGGTGGCTTTCGCCCCGATAC